TTTTAGTCTGAAGGAGTTTGTAACTTCCTAGTTTACATTGTGCTCAACAGCTTGTAGTTTGGCATCCAAGCTGTACAGTTTAAGGAACACCATCATCTTCATGTATGGTTGATGGTGAAGTTGGTGRTGATTACTTGGCAGACTTGGAGTGAGGGTACCTCTGTCTTGTCACTGAAACAGGACTGTTTTCACATTCAGAAGTCAGTCAGGTTTCCCCCTCCTAACTGAATATCTTACTATAAAGGCTGGAAAAATTGTCTGTATTTGTTCATGGTGCCAATAGTCTTTTAAGTATTTTAGACAAAATGAGATCACTTGAGTAGGAAGTATTCCCTAGGTTTCTTTTTGGATCATCCATAACAACAAAAGATACGATTTTAAGTGATTTCAGTGGAAGGGTATGGTAGAAATTTAGCCTACATGTTTGTGATGAATATACGTATTCCCATCTTACTTATTTAGGATGCTATTTTGTTTCCACATTTCTTTGGAGGGGAACTACATCCTCATAAACATTTTCGTGTATGTATTTAATAAGGACATTTAGAAAAATATTACTTTTTTTCTTAAAATAACATTGACCACAGATTGCCTCTTCTAGCTGTGTTTTTATTCTTTGCATGTTTTTGGCCTTTTTTTTTGGATTCTGCTTGCTGATAAAAGGGCATGCAAAGACTTAGAAGAGTTCTTGACCTCTTAATGTAGTTTGCRTCTAGCTAGTACCTCCCTGTGATACATGAGCTGTGTTTATGTTCATATGCTTTCAATCTAAAATAATATTGTTTTTCTCCTGATAGCTAGTATCTGTCCTGGTTGCCTGTAGAATAAAAAGACACGATACAGCAAAACAAAACAATTATGATGAGCTCTGTGGATGAGTGTGACAAATCTAAACCCCTTTTTTACCATGCATTTCATTCAGATACCTCCTAAGCATTGGCCCAGCAACGGGCAAAGCTGAGCAATTATAGTTCTTGAAATTTGGAATTTAGTGTCAGACAAAAGATAATGGTACTCAAGATGGCAGCTTGTGGTCTCCCCTTGCTCACACTGTGACCTTGATATTCTGTGTGAGTAGCAATAGCATTAACTTGTACTATAAAATGGGGCCCCCCATGAAGCAAGTACATAGACAGCTGATGAATTGTCATTACACTGAGGCTTTTTATCTACTTGTAACTCACCCTTTGCAGATGTTACACAATTCTGAACTTTACAGTTTTTTTCTTTGAAAGTTTTCCATAGCCTCTGAATGTGAAAGAAACCTTCATGGTTAGATTACTGGGAACAGGAAGAAAGATGCAAACACTTCTCATTTGCACTTTACATTTCCATTTCAGTTTATAAAATTATACACTTAACATGCATTTGGAAATTATGTACTTCAGACCTCTAAGGAAGAGTTAAACAAAAAAAACAGCTATTGTAGAATAAGGACTTCTGGATTTTTTTTGTGAGCGAGACAAATCCTTTTTATGATTTTTTTCTTAGTTTCCATTTCACTATTATTTTCAGTATCTATAAGTATGGTGATACTATTAAAAGAGTCAGCAAAACTGTGCAATCCAGCAACACCATTAGTCATGAGCCTAGAACAAGGAATTTTATACATATGTAAACATGGGATTAAGTTTAAAGTCCAAGTTTGGACTATTTGTGAAGGACTGTCAGTAACATATACCTCAGTTTAGCAATGGAAAACAAGTGTGATTCAAGTCACCTCCAACAGAGGTCTTATTCTTCAGAGCAATCAGATGGGGCATGGACTTGAATAAATTCAGTTACAAACTCCATTAGCCTGTCGGTGTCTGTGAATGAGTCACTGTGTATTCAAGACACACTTGTTATATACAAATGCCAACCAGCAGATCTGCAGTGAAGAGATCAGAAAACTTTTCCATGTTAAAGCAGATGTTACTGATATTAAAAAAAAAAAAAAAAAGGAATCCTGGGAAGCCTGTGAAGTCTGAGGATTTGATTCTGTACTTTTTTGTCGAAGAATTATTTTCAGTTGAAGTGCCGTCGGAACACTGAGATTATAAACAAGGTTTAGAATGTAACAATTTATAAGAAGAATGGAAATAAAAGTTTTCATTTCGTTTATGAGTTTTGAGAGATAAAATTTTGCTTCTGTGATTTGTTATATGGCTAATTAATCCCTGCTAAGCAAGTGGAACTGACTTTGCTGAGATTTCTTTTAGAAGTCGCTATGCAGGGAAGCTGAACTTCCTACTGGAAAAAGACATGCTATTTTGCTTTCCATAATCAACATTTTAGCACTACAGCGTGTATCACTGCCAGTTACCTGGACTGTGCTTTTACATATCAGGTAAATTGGGCAGCTCTTGCTGCTGTAGCTGACAGCAGGAGCTATAAATTAGATTTTGGAACAGAAGAGGAAAGATTTGCCTTATTTATGCACTGAGCATGTTCCACGAGCACCGTGTGCCAGCTTATTGCTTGTTTCTGAGGAAACAGCTATGATGTCAAGCTTATACTCACCTATGGTGATGGGGTTTTTTTTTTTTGCATCCAAGGAATTTTTTTTTAAGACAGAAATCTGAAATCATTTGCTGCACATTGATTTATATTTACAAATATTTACTTCTTAATGTATGGTGAGCATCAAAGATTATAAATCTATACTGAAATTGACTATGGTAAAAATAAATTATATTTCAAGTTAATATTCTTTTGAGAATTTTTTAATGTCATATATTGTACTAGTGATTAATGATGCTCACACAAGGCATGCATGCTGGAAACAAATTAAAAAAACTCTGTAGCTAGTGATAACTCTCATAAACTCAATTCCATCTCTGATTTAGTCTTTTAGCAGTGCTATTGTTATATCCTTACCATAGTCAATGGTAAAGGTGAGGAAGAATTCTACTGAAGTAGGTTAAAATAGAAACTGAATAATCTTGAAATCTGGAAAGAGACAAATACAGAGATAATAATGTCTGTTGTTGGAAGTATTTGTAAGAATGCTCTGAAATACTCAGCCATATACTTGATTTTCAATGAGGATGCATTAACATCTTGGAAACAAACAGGCCATCACTGAAGCACCAAGACAGATGTAGGAAGTAATTCTAAGAATAATGGTTGCGCCAGTGACCAGAAGTGAGGATCCTTTTGCCATGCCTTCATTCTTAAAGTAACTGTGTTTTAGCTTTAAAAAGTTTCTACTGGAACAATGGTTTATGTTTAGGAAGGGAAGTCTGCAGTTTTGACAGCATTTTGCCCTCAAAAGTAAAGATACTTCTAACACTCAGCATGGTCTGATAGAAAAATCTGCTCGAGAGCTTTAAAAGTACAAAGCGACTCTGAAATCACTGGGAGACGTGGGTATGCAGCATGTACCAGTGCTAGTAACACTAGTTGCCATAACTCACAAAACAGATGGAGTTAAACAGACATTCAGAGAAAGCAGTAGCCCTGACTGTCCTGTAGAATTAACTCCTGAAGGTAAAGTGTATTGTATTTTTCCTAATCTGCCCAAAACACAAGTATTAATGGATGACCTAAGAGTCACATCTGACGGGATGAGTGGCACTGAGAACTAAATATGAAAATCAATATTTGGTACAGAGAGGCAATCATCAGCTCTTCGATTCAAATGTCACCAAATTTAACAACAAGATAGTGACCTTGTTTGCAAGAACCGTGTGCCAGGTTTATGTGGAAGGACAGATTAAATCCATCTGCTCAGTTTGGGTTCAGTTAGACTGATGTCATTAGTTTTAAGTACTAGGATAGTTGAGAGACGGCAAGTCACAAGAGTTAAAGTGGGTTATGCCCATATGTATAATCTGTTGTAAAGAAAGTTCACTCTTAATTTAGCTGCAAAATCAGGAATGTTTCTTAAAAGGAGTATCAAAAGCAATAAATTACTGTGCTTAGAACATTTCTACTTGCCATTTCAATACTCTTAAGTGAGTGAATCTCATGAGCCAAACTGACAACATACATTTATTTTTCTGAATATTTATTGAAGATGGTTTGGCCATTGCAATACCTGAAGAAGTGTGGTGGATCTCATGATTTTTAACAACTCAGATTTTTTTCCCTGTCCTTTCGGAGAATATTTCCTGGTAACATGACTTACATCATCAGGGATTCTAACAAAATGGCTTGGTTATGTTTACACACCTAAAGAAAAGGAACATCAGTTCTTCCCACAAGTTAAAGTTAAAATCAAGCCAATGGACAAAGTTCATTTTGAAGCATTTAGCCTTGACTCCCCCCCCACCCCCCCAAGTCTAAGGAAGACAAATGCTGTATTGCCAGGGCTTCCTGGCTTTCCTCCAACTAGAAAGCTGATATTATATTTAGTATTTGCCAGCCCCTATTTATTTGCAGTCAGGGAAGAGAAGAATTTTGTCTGTTTTAGGAAGGAATTTTTAAAATCACAGAATATGAGCATTTAGTTTACTTTCGGGTCTTTTACTTTCAGTGGAGATGTTTGCATGAATCAGGATCAAAGTAGGCTTTCTAGTTAAATAACATTTAAACTTGTGGAATTGATTCCTTCCCAAGCTCATGGCCATTTTTAGAGCCCCAGGATGAAGGTTATAAAGTCACTGCTAGAAATACGCCTGTTCTGTTGCGCTGTGTTCACAAACAGAGAAGCATAGACAAAAGTATAATTTTCTGTTAAGGTTTTCAAACATAAACATTTGTCTGTCATTTGTCACACGCTTTTTCTGGAGTCTGACAAGATGAGCCTGAGCAGTAGACATGCTATAAAATGCATTTTACTGCAAAACACTTGAAAAACTTTAACATGAAGGGGGCAGGGAGGGAATTCGTAACAGTTTTTTCCGTTTGAAAGTGTTATCAATTTGTTTATCGGGTTACCTACTTCAGAGGAAGCAAAAAAGTGAATTCTTGTTTTTTTTTTTTTTTTTTTTTTTTTTTTTTTTTTTTTTTTTTATTTTTTTTTTTGTTTTTATTCAGACGTTTGCTTTTTTGTTTTTTTTTTTTTTTTTCTCCAGGATTTAAGACAGAACTCAAAGCCAGAATGCATCCCTTTGAGTTCCATACATTCTACACTCCCTGAGGTAAGCTGTTGGTTAATTTCTGGGAATTAGTAGGACTGTTGGGTTTTCACTATGACTTCCTTCCCATTCCTTCCAAGTTATAATAAAAATGAATTGATAGTGCTAATCACATTTCAGTTGCACATTCAAAAAGATGAAAAAGTGCAATATGATACTTAATGATCTATCTTGAAACTTCACTGCAGTAACTCAGTGGAATTAATTATCCTAAGTACTTAGGCTTTTTCTGAAACACATTGCCTTCCGAAAGTTTGCAAAAATATGTAGTTTGCATTTGAAAATTATTTGATCACAGAATCATTATAAATTTGAAACACTAGTGTTAGCAGTTTCTATTAAAAACCAAAAAAGATAGAGGCCAAGATCTCAAACCAAACAAAAATGCATGTTGCAAATGGCTGTTAATCTAAAGCATGAAGATGACATTCCTGCAGAATTTCATGAGCATCAGAAGATAACTAGAGCTTTGCTACAGGTGTCACGCAGCATGAGGTGGATTTCTCAAAAAAAAAAAAAAAAAGCTGTTACTTGTTAATAGGAAATAGAAACATTTCTTCAGACTCCTTGCAAGTAAAACTTTTGCAAGCTAATCATTAGGCAGAATGCCTCTTAGTAGTTTTTTTTGGATGGTTTAGGGTGACACTGTGTGGCTAATTTGAGCACTGAAATATCAACTACATGTTATATCAGAATGAAATCTTTTGATCTAACATCTTAATTCTCTAGTATTACATTTAAAAAATAAAGTATAGTGGCTAGTATGTTGGAATATTTTCTGTATTCTCTCTGTAATCTTAATAGGGGATCATGTGACATATGTAGCTGTGAAAGTATGTTTTATTCCTTTACAGATGAAGATGTTAGCTTTTTTAGTCTTAGCCTTTTAAAAGAGAATAAACTTCAGGAATACAGGAAAATATAATCATAAATGTAACAAAATCTTTGTTGTCAGCTGTGTTTTCTTAAATGTATTAGGAAACCAAAAGTAGGTAATAGTCTGTGTCCAAAATCTTTCCTGTTAACACAATACTTAGAGCTAAATACTTAAAACTCCTTTTCTCTATTTTGTTCTCTGAGTTACACTACAAATTCTTCTATTTACTTTTCTGAAACGAACGTGCTGTTTTTCCTTTAAAGTTACTGTTATGCTTCTCTCATTCATTTATATCAATGTGTACATTCACAATCTACTTCAGTAAATACGAACAGACTTCTGTATTTGTGCTCATGACATTTCTCTATTCATGAAATTCACAATCATGGCTGGCCTGGCATGCCTTTGGATGGCATTCTGTTTCAGCATGTATTTGGATGAAGCATGGCTCCTAATTCCACAGATTTCCATATGGCTTCATTTGTTTCACTCAGTAACAGTCGTAATTTATCTGTGAAGACTGATACAATATCCAAGAAAAAGAAACTTGAATTTGAATACATAGTGTCAAACTTTAATACATAGTGTCAGCCGTAAGTTTACCATACTCTAAATATGTCAGTTCCTGTTCAAGCTTTTCAGATTGTAGCTGTGTATCAGGAATAAGGTGCAAAAGGGAAGGGAAAGAGACATCACCTTTTGAAGAGAATTTAATGAGTATACATCTGTAAGTAAAAGAGACGTTGGGCTTTTATCAGGAGTAAAATTGCATACTATTTAATGAATCATATTTCTATTTACTAAAATTATTTAAACAGRAATTCTCTTTTTCAAGTGTCATTTTCAAAGACGGTTTTCATAGGGCCTTAGTAAGAGGAATGAATGAGCAGAACTCTATTCACTTTTCTGGCATTCGGAGGCCATTTAGTTGTAGCCTCAGGAACAAACATGGTATTTATAGCAGCAACATGTTTTCTGCTGTCCTTTGTGATAATGCCTGCCAAGTCTCAGAATCAGAATTAGATATTTTCTGAGCTCAAAATAATTTCATGAGGAGCTGCTACCTTAAATTAGACTTCAGGATTTCCTACTTTGAGAAATTTTGGAGAGGATATTTTGTTGATTAACCTTTTAAGATGTTTTTAAGATCAGTCAGTGTCAGGCTCAACTACTTGTTTTGGTTCCTTAGGAAATCTCAGATTGCGGGGGAATTATGAGAGTTTTTTCTGAGGTTTTTATGAACGCATGRTTTGTTCAATAATAGTATATGTATTACCTGAACTGCTGGGGAAAGGAATCTGAAATTATAATGCGAATTTTGTCTCATTTGAGGATCCAAGAATACAACTGAACACTTAAATATGGAGAGACTGTTGGGATTTCCCTTTATGAAGAATATAAGTCTAAAGCAAACTTTTTTTTAACTGTATCTTAAGTAACAAAGTATTCTCTGATACAAGATAATTCAAAGTTGTACAGGAAATTGCTCTTAATAAGTGTCAGGTGTTCGGGAGGAAGGCAGAGTTGCACTCTGTTGGAATGACTAATAGTGGTTTTTATTGGTGCGCTACTACCATAAGAATATTCTGCCAGTGACACACACTAGATCAGCATGCGTGTTTTCAAGAACAAAATGTACTGGCAGCATCACATGGTCAGAAATACTGAAGAGCCAAAAGGCTGCATCATTATTAGATAATGCCACAGTCCTTAACATGAAAATGGAATGAAAGGCAATTGAAGCCTCCCTGCAGCATTCTGGAGCAGTGAAGTTTTCTCTGTTTTCTCATAAACTGAAAAAATCAGTTTTGCCCAGGAATCATGAGATAAAATATGCTATTGGACATGAACACAAGGATATATGAGTATTGCACTAAGACCATTATTACCACCTCAAGATTGTAGAAAATAGCACAGGAATAATAGCAATAAAGAAAATAACCACATCCCCCACATGGAAGACAAAATAGGATAATAAAACCGCCTGAAAGTGATTTTAATTCTTGATGATAAACTCCACCAAAAAACACATATGGTACATTTCACAGCTCTTTGAAGAGGTCAGTATCCTCTGGCTTCACTCAGACCTCTAAGAGGAATGTTGGCCAGTGTGAACCATGATGGTGGATTGTCAGGTGCAAGCTCCTGTCTAGAAGGGAATGCTCTTGCCTTACAGCAGTTATGGAGCAACTGCTCTTGTCTACCACAACCCTAAAGATTCCAACAGATTACCTTAAAGCTATTACCTTAAAGCTAGTTGTCAGTTACGGTCCTTTCTCTACGGTTCTCTAACACCAACAAGCAAACATTATATAATATATTTAAAAATGTATAGCATATTTAATTACCAGAAGATGAGTTACCGATCAGAACCTTAATAAATAGAAATAAAAATGGAGATCAGCTAGTACTATAGTCACCATGATCATACCTGGATGAATGTGGTGAGAATCTTGCATAGTGAGAAAGAAGCTCCATCCATAGGCCAGGTTTCTGAAGGCGTAATTCTGTGTGATGCACTATCATACCTTAATGGTAAGACATACAGACATTGAAGAGCACCGAATGCTCTTTTCTTTAGCATAGTGGGGGCGAGGGGAACTAAAGACAGCTGTTAAACTTCCTTTGTTTTAGCCTTGGTAAAAACAGTCATTTTAATTTAGAACAGATTTGAACTAGATGTACATTCTTGCTATTAATTGCTCTGACCCAGCAATAGCATTAGCCTCCATGAAATAGAGGGACCAATCATGGAGTTGGATAGAGAGCAGCTGGGATTAACCAGCAACACCAATTTAAAAAAAAAAAAGTGGGAAGCCATGATCTCTTGTAATCCTCGTCTTTTATAAGATAACTCTTGAACAGTTCAAATTTACAATTAATTATACTTAGGACAAGTAAGCGTGAGAAAAATTTTTGTAGTGCTTTGATAAGAAAGGGGTAACTTATTAATATTACATTTCATCAAATAATTGACTATTTTATATCCCTTTATTCATAAGTTGTTTAATTAAAATGCATCTCCCAAAGCTTCAATTTAAAATAATGCATTGGTGGAAACACTGTAAGGCCTTGCATATACATATAGCATCCTTTCAAAGAGATASTATGAGTTTTCTGTAATGCTTCTCAAGAAAGCTAGATAAATTGTTTTCAGGTTTTTGTAACTGCAGAAATAGTCACTTAATTTGGCAGTAGGCTAACACTTTTCATACCAACTCAATTTGTAATTATTCTTAAATGTGCACACACACACACACAAAGGGGAGGACTTTATAACTTGATTGAAATGCTGAACAAACTCATCACAGACAGAATAAGCATAGATACATCTAGGCTTATTCACACTCGGTACCAGCCAAAAATAGTCTCTCCTTCGTCAGCTGCAGAGCATTTGAACATATGGGAGAAAAGGGTGTTACAAATACCTCCCCTGACTTGTGTCTTTCAGTAGTCTGTGTTGTTTAATAAATAACTTGGATGATCAGTCTTTAGTTTCTACAGGTTATTATAGAACTACACAAAGACTATGAAATGCCTGCTAATGCCTATTTGTCAAAAGAAAGAAAAGACCAGACTTTTTCCCTGTGTTACTCAGTACCTCTTAGATSTATTTTAATGAACAAAACTGAGTGTTGGCTAAAAAAATTGCATGTAATGATGCAATTAGATTTACAGATTTTGGCTCTCTAATCCAATGCAATTTATATTCTGATCTGAACCATGAATAAATTGTGTTCTGTCCTTGCCAGCATCTCACACTGCTGCAGGAATACAAAGGCAAAGAGGAAATAGATCTTCTTTTTCCTCAAAAGCAACAGTAGTAATACAGTAATACAAACTGGACGGAAGTTTAAAATGGTGAACCCTGGTTCTCCCACAGCACAGGTGAGTAGTGTGCTGCTCTGCTATGTAAATAACACACACAATACCATAGTTTATGACACCCATTTTTATATCATAAAATAGGGGGGGGGAAAAAAAGAAGGTGGAAGGGAATACTGTAGATCATCCAGTTCTTCCGATTCATCTTCCAGTCAGATGGCAGGTTTTTGACTAACAGATGAGCTAATGTTTCATAGATCAGTGAAAGCACAATTTGGAAACCTAAGCCTCTTAATGAATTTGGACTTTATTTGGAAAAGGCTGATAAACAGAGGATAGCTTATGAATATTCCATTGTATGTGGAATTCAATAATGAACAATTAGTTTTTTATTTCAGTATATAATAAACTGTATGTGCGTCTGCATTTTTCCTCTCTCCTCCTTACTCTCCTTTCTTTTCCTGCATCCACTATTTATGAACTATTCACCCCACCATATCAGTTAAACATCTCATGGCAAATATACACATTAGCATTTAGTACAGGGTAAGTGTACCTCCTTTTAACCTGTTTTTATATCTATGTGAGCTTGACTATCCTAACTGCTGTTTTTAGTAGTATATTTTATATGGGCAAAAGCAGAATAGCAAGAATAAAAAGTGCCATAGTTACTCTGAATCAGAATGTCTGCCTGACTTGTTGGACTAATAACTGTAAATGTTAAATATCTTTCAGAATCTTCGATTTGATCTATTCGCAAAGAATAGGAAGTTAGTAGAGAAGCAGTAACTCCCCATTTTTAGTAGTGTTCTTTTGTTGTAATTGCTGAGCTGCTACCAAATTTTTGTTATATAGAATTTGTCATTGGATGAAAGGTTGAAATCTCGGTGAAAAGACAGGCAAATCTAATTTGAAGGGTGCTGTTTTTAAAAATACAATCATATAACCATTACTCACCTCACACTTGGTATAGCTAAGACAGTTTTCCACCGTGAATTCCAAGGGTAGCACTAGTAGCATTTAGATACTTCGGTTCCCTTGAACTTTAGACTGAAATATTAGACATCTAGAGAAGAGTAGAGCTTGTGCAGTAGATAAAAAAAAACAGAAAAATAACAACTCTGTGTTTGTCTGACTTTAAATCTCGTTGCAGACAATGCCATAATAGTCTATGGTCAGTAGTACAATTGCATTAGTGCAAGTAGGAAAAAAAACAGGAAATTCAGGACGGAGTGTTTGAGCACTACAACATGAATTTTGAACACTGTGTACGCACTGTTTTGAGGGCAGGTCTGAAGTGATGGGGAATTATTCCTAGTCTGAAGTTGTAGAGGATTTTGAAGCTTGTTTTTTTCTCTCAGTGGCAAATATAGAAAGAAATTTTTAAAATAATAATAAAAGAGGTATAAGCCATATGGTCCAAAATAATGGAAAACCATGACCATCTTAGGAGCAACATTTAAATAATGCTTCATTTGCAAACCCACAGGGAGTCCACCTGTCATACTCATTCTCACACACTAATTTCAGCCAGCTTCACTGCAGCATTCCCACCAGCCATTCTCACCATTTTGCACAACCACCCAGCATAGTCAAAGTTACCTTCCTAAGGATTATATTGCACTGTAGTCACACAGGAATAGAAGGCACTCTGGGCTGCCTTATTGCGTGTGTGTAATAAAAGCCTAAGTAGTCAGCGTAATTGTTGATCGATGAGAAGGCTTCTTACTTCAGTCCAGAAAGTCTACATACACCTTCACATTAAATATCCCAGTGGGAATCAAGAGCTAGATCTAATGACTTCAAGTGAAAATAAAGAAAGCTGTTCCGTTCAGACCATTATTGTTCATGCTGCTTTGTGAATTTATTTCTTTAAATTTTCCACTTGTGCTCCTGCCAAAAGAGATCTATTAGACAGTAAGCAGCAAGAGTAAAACTTTATCATTTTGTTTCAAACTATAAAATAATTTACATCACATATTTTACTTACTTTTGTCTTTTTTTTTTTTTTTTTTTGAAACCACAAACATTCCAGCATCACACTGTAGGAATAAGAATAACAATAGAAAGCATAACCTTTTGCATAGTATTAAATGAACAGACAGAGTAAGTTCTTTATTTACAATTATTGTCTAGATAAAAAAATTCATAAAAACAAGATGAATGAACATATATTAATAACCCCTAGAGGGATGGACTGCCAATGTACCACTGTATTGTTGTCCACAAATCTCATGCTGCTAAGTACAGTACGTAGAGAGCGAGCATTTATATATTGCAGGGAGATTTAACAAACTGATCATTTTGGTTTTTGATCCATTGTTCCCATCACAGAGAGGTCAAGCAATAAAAGAATTGTGATACACGACTTGTAGTTGAAAGGTCTTAACTATTCTGCTTTAAAAAAAAAATCTATCATTTATCATATACATAAAGCACAGTCTCTGCTCACAAAAGCCCAAATGTTCTATGCATCTCAGTTTATATATGTTTTACTATATATACACAGAATGCAGTGTTCATTTTCTTAACAGTTTTCAAGTCTGCAAATGGTACTTTAGGGAGGGGTATTCCTGCTGGAAAAAATAAAAAATTGAAACCAAGAAAAAACATGAAAGTATTTGAAAACAAAAGGCAAATACTCAGTGTTAAGATGCTGAAAATATATCTTTCCAGTATTGGTAGCTTCTGTAGATGTTCAAGTCCAAAGCTAGAGGCTTCCCTGCAAATAGATAATACTTCTGTTTCTTCTGAATATGATATCCCAAGTAGGCCATAGAAACCCAATACATGTTATACAAAGGTTAATCACCATATTTACAAAGCGAAGAACAATCTTGACTTGAGTTTCAATCACTTTGTTGCTAGGAATTAGCTAAAATAATCATGTATTCATGCTAGATTTTTTACTGTTAAGAAATGGGTAAGATTATCTGTCGAAAACAGAGCTGTATAGCCTCCAAAGACCTGTTCTGCTGTTGCTTCAGTGAAAAGTGGACCAGATAGTGAACTACAAGTTTGAACCAAAAACATTCAAGCTTCTACACAAAGTCCGGAAGCTGGCAATTCAAGCTTTACCTGGCTGAATAGTCCTGATGCACCCTTAAAACATTTTAATCAGTTCAGTCTGCAGTTTGGCCGTGAGTCTAATCTTGTTTTGGAGAGTTCTGGCTTGAATTAGTTCTTGTGACTGCAGAGATGCACCATGTTATTTGCCAAATTTTACACAACCAGTAATACCTTAACAAACCAATTTATCAAGCTAGTTTGAGAGTGTATTTCAACACATCTGGCATAATCAATTGTGTAGTTCAGAATGTCTTTTGCACTGTACAGTTATGGAAAAGATCATATGCTGAAAAGTCTCCAAGCAAACTTGATATTAAATACAAAAATTATTTATGAAAAATCCGTGATCCACAAAGTGCTTAGCATTCAGGTGGTTGACATAGCAATTATATAAGCTCATAAATTTTACCAGGGCTGTTACCATCTTGAAAAATATTCTTCACCCTCTGTACTGCACGTTTTCAAAATAGCTTTCTTTGTAGAAAGTGCAATAATAAGGTAAAACAATGTAGTACTGTGTTACAGTATATTTTGTGACAACAGGAAGACAAGCTTGGTTAAAAAAAAAAAAAGAAATCACACAAAGCACATCTCCGTAATTCACAGAGTTTCTTTCAGACCTAAATAGTGCAGAAATTAAAAAACAAAATCGATAACCTACAKTGATTTTCATCCAAAATGCCAACAGCCCATTCTTGGTAAGACGTAAGGAAATAAATGCCTAAATTACTAACTGAAAAGAATTAACACAGTATATCACAATAGTTTAACATTACTTTGATCTCCATATAGACAAACCAAATATAACTTATTTTTAATCTTTATTTATAAATTCAGTTTCATGTAATAGCTCTCTCAAAATATTTTTAGGAAGCCATTGTCATAAAGAATGAAACAGCCTCCATTATCATATGTTGCACCAAAACAAGTTCAAGCAGTTTATTARAGGAAAAAGAAAAAAGAGAACCTGATCATTCTGATTTTTATTTGAAACAAAGGAAGCCTTTTTTACCTCCCTGTATATAGGACCACAATGCTACATCCAATATGTTATATTTTGGCTTCTTTTGTTATTTACTAGCAGTATCTACATTATTTAACCAAAAAAAACAAAAACAAAAAAACAGGCAGAAATCAGAACACGATTGTACTAAAATATCCAGGGTGTGATATTACAGACATTTTCGATGAGCTGAGCCGTTTTTATACTACTTCGGCAGGAAGTGCTTTCTTAACCCTACAAATAGTTAAGGATATTTATCTACAGGTTTGTAAACAAATTACATTCTTTTTTAGGACATAAATAAGTTAAAATAGTCAGAGCAATTTGAGCAGAAACAAGGCAACATGCCAACAAAGAAACTTTATATATATATAACTATATATATATAGATAGATATATACATATATATAATTAATTATGTATATACTTATATGTATATATCTCTATATATAGTCTCGTAAATGTTTAAGTTCCTCTGTCCAACTGGTGCAAATCTACTGTGCAAGTTAAGCTTTGCAACTTCAAAAAAGTTATTTAAATTAATCTATACAACTGAGTCCATGCCACACAAGCATTTCAAAAAACTCACAGACCAGTGAATTGGATAAATAGCCTCAGAAAGAAGTCCTCTGCAGTTCCTGTGTAAGGAGGAGGAAAAAAAAAGAAAAAAACAAACAAAAAGAAACAAAGAGAAAGAAGGGCTGGAAGTGTACAGTACATTCATGCAGGAGGAATTGTTTTGTTTTTTTCTGAAAGGGAACAAGAGCGGGTATGTAAATCAGCCATTCATTCTTTCCCAAAACCATTGTGATCAACAATTCATTCACTTGTCTCAGAGCAAGTAAGAGTTCAAACAGCTTTTCAGCCAGCAATGTTTTTAATATATATATTTATATATTTCGGTTGCTGTTTCTTTTTTTTTAATTTTTTAGATTTTTTTTTTTTTTTTTTTTTTCAGTGACTTCAGCTAAAGTGATGTCTCCAGGCTATGTATTGGGCTTCCTGGACTAGAAGAGGTAGCTGATTTACTTGTGTCAGTTGTAAGATTTATTCCACTGTCGATAGCACTGTTGTTCTTGTTCAGCGAAGATGGTGGACTTGAGTTTTTCTTGAGAGCAGAGTCGTCTTCTAGGTCTGTGTCATCAATGAGTGGGATATGGGGCTGGGAATCTTCTATCCTAAACTCGGGATGAGTCATAAAGTTGTGAATAGAGGTTCTAGATTCTGGTTTTTCTAAACCTTCATAGAGAGAGCTACGGAATGCCTTCACGACGCGGATCTGGGGGGAGAAAGGAAAGAGATGTCAGAGGGAGCACCTAAAAGGGGCAGCACGGTGTTAGAGAATACTTTGTGAAAAATGTAGCATATGGTTAGGGCAGTGCAGGCAGCTGAAGTCCATAGTCTCTGGATGTTATATGCATAAACGAGTGGCTCAGTTATGTGCATTGTGTATCAACTGCAATGTTAAAATAAACCAAGTTTAAAGCCATCAAAGAACTGATGGGAAGTACTCGTTAAAGAAAACCAACGTCCACTCGTGTGGTACATCCCTAGTAAAAGACAAGCCATGTTAATTGTAATGCAAATGTAAAACCATGCATGTTGACAGTTTTGCATTGAGTTAAGTAGGAAGGCTTTTTTAAAATTTATTTTAAAAAGTCTCTTTGTGTTGTTAAAAGGAACATTACACATAACATATCACACTTTACAAACAGAAAAGCAGAGAACACAGACAAAATAGGATGGGTACATATGAGACACACACAGGAGCCAGATGTAAAAACAATAAGTAATATAAATGTTTTAAAGCAAAATCTAAATGAACGCAGCCAGGAGCACAAAAAGCCAAGCAGACAAAAATTACTAAGCAAAATCATGCTACCACAGGGGGAAAAAAAAAGTCACAGTTACCACATGAACAGAGATAACTTGCACACAACAACTACACTTGGAAGCCTGGATAATGTGAACATAGTATTGTTGAACCAACTTTCATTTGTCCTTCATGCATATGTGAGGTAAACACTCGAGTATAGACCCACTGTTCTAGCCGTTTAACTTCTTAAATATATATAGAACATGTAATAAAATAGAATTTTGATTTTAGGGTTGGATTGAATTACATTGTGAAACAGCAAGTTTTTTTTGTTTTCTGCGTCTCAGTTGTAATACTGTTTGTAGGACTAAATTGTGAAAAAGACACAGTTTTTGCCATATATGCAGTCTTTAGTCAGCTAATTTATGCCCGGATAAATCTAAACTACCTGACAATGAAAACAGACGTGAAAGTAAACTGCAAGGCCCATTAGACGGGCAGTGACAGTGCCAAGTTGCTTTCCCCATAGGAAATGAAAGGCTGAGGGGCCCTGGAGGGTGGGGCAGTCAGTGCTCCGTGCCTGGGCAAGGGAGCAACCCTGCGGGCAGCCCAGGCTCCCAGCAGACAGCGAGGATTGTGCTGGATGTTACTAGTGAGAAAACTGCAACTTTCTTGGAGGGGGAGAGGTGTGGATTGAATGGGGGGCAGAGAGGGGAGAACAGAATGGCAAAAATGTATCTGTTGTCAGATGTTTTATGACTAAATATGAGTTCTATCCTTCTACTTCCATGTAGTTTATGAGTGATTTTTTAGCATTTCTTGGGGTGGAGAGAGGTGGGAGGGGGGTAGACCAAAACACAGGCATAGGCAGAAAGGGTGCGAGCAGGCGTTGTGAAAGTTTTTCCACACACATTTAAATGGTTTGGCAGTAGGTATGTGTATTGTTTTACATGTGAATATGCTGCAAGTTACTGTTTGGTCTAATACATCACTAATCCTTAAAGCTTTAATTCTTCTTCTAACTGGCAGGCACAATTTTAGCAACAGAATGGGTCACAGTGTTATATCAATGGGATCTAGCTGATCCTGTATTTGGAGTCCGAAGTTGTACAGGATTTCGGCAGATTAGAGGAAAAAAATGGCTGAATGGTACTTTGTTCTCTTTGGATTTTGTCTTATGTTTATGGTCTCTAATTGTGAATCCTCATCTTTCAAAAACGCTAGTGGCAGAAGAAAATCAGGTAAAATTTCAAATAAATGGCCTCCAATCAGTTCAATTATCCATCCTTGTCTTTTTTTACAAGAGCAGTGCAAAAAACACATTCATGTGACTGTCTTAGAAATGAGGTACAGAGTGGTACAGAAGGGCCTGACCACATCTGTCTTGCAATGCTAGAGGAGTCTAGATTTCCATAAAGTAGCAAAGGTGCAAAAGAAGGACAGAAAAAGTAATTTTTATGCATGAAATGGTATAGCAGATGCTTGCTTTATGTAACATCTCAAATTACAATGCAAGGCTTTAGCCGACCAGAATCTTTTTGAATTGTGCTGGGGTACAGGATGATTTTATACTGGGATAAGAGATTCATTTACATTACTGAATGTAGGATTTGAGCTCTATCTGAAGAGAAGGGCTAATACTGAAAAAAAAAATGCTTCTCAAAGTAATTTTTAATATGTTACTAGATTATTCAATTTTAAATCAGGGATCCTTTTTTGACATTCTTGCTTTCTAATACAGAAGCTACCTATTTTTCTGCTTTCTGAATTAAAAAAACAAGTAATCTTATTCAGTTGAAGATGTTTGCTACATTTTATTTGCTAGAATAAAATACTTTAATTCTCTTGAATACAGACTTCCTGTTGCACAGTTTTAGGTTCTAGTCTGCCAGATATAAAATTTTTAATAAATGCAARTATAATTTTACTTAAATAAGAGGGCTTATGATTTTATATTACTTTTGAACAGATTTTGTAGAGATTTTCAGTGAAAAAGCTTTTCTTGAGGTGACAAACCTGTATTTAAGGTTATCAAAGCAGCAACTAAATTGCACTGTATCGAGAACCTCCAGTGCAGTCACTGGGAATTCAGCTTATTCTGACTTGGACAAGTAGACTCAAAAAAAGGATACAGTCGTATAAACAAAGATTTAAAATATTCTAAAGACACTCTGTCCAAATTAATACCAAGATTTAGAATCTAATACTCATTTAATAACAAGGTTTTAGTCAATCTGCAGCAAACTATTTTCTTATACAGCTTAGGGAAAACTGTAGCTTTAGGTTAGTATTTGAAAATCAGTTCTGCAAACGTGCTTACCATGACCTGAGTCCAGTCCCTCCAGTGCTACTGCTTGAACAAATGAGCTACTGGAAGAAAATGCTACACTAGCATCTTTTGCATGGACTTGATGCATTTACATAACAGGCTGAAGGTAAAATTGGAAAATCAGCCCGCAGTTTTAACACGCACTATTTTGAGACTTGCAGGAAACTTCAGATATTACTGTCATAATGTCTACATGCATGATTTTTACTAGAAACATTAGCTTAGCTAGCTCAGATATGCTGGTAACGGAAGTGGTTCATCTTCAGAATTCAGAATGGTGATATAGGCAAGTATGGTCAGCTTTCTAGTAAATGTTTTTTTACTAAGGAGCTATAGAAAGCTACCTTCTTTACTAAAAATGTCTCTACAATTTCAGGGTTGAGTATTTGTCTTCACCATTAATTTTTTCCTTGAAGTAAAAGCTTCATTCCCTATTCTTCAGATTTAGCTTGGCATCTTAGAAGGAGACTTCTATTTTTTAGTGTTTTGCCTCATTCAGTGACAGAATTTCTGCATTACAATGTAATTCAAAATCTTGTTACAGTCTGTCTGGCAATTGACTGCTTACAAGAGAGAAGGGGGGAAAAAAAAAAAGCTTTGCAGAAACAAATCAGGTTGGCCAGTTGCAAAGGCTTGCATTTTAATTTATATAAAATTACGCTACTCTAACAACTCTAAATTGCATAGTAATATGCCCCAAGAGCAACAGATAATTTTAATATTATGCTTACACTTAAATATTATTTGAATTAACATGTAGCATAAGACTGTTTAGAGGCTGTGCTAAAACAAAACCCATTTAGGGTAGTTACTTTGTAAAGATAAAAGCAGGCTATGCAACTTCACATGATGCTGTTAGAGCTGTACAGTATGTAAAGCAGGGCCATACCCACGATGGATAGAACCTACTAAAGTGTTGGTTTATTAGGAAAATGTGGAGTTCATGTAATGAGATTTCTTTATGATACTGACAATGCCAAGGGAAGACAAACAGTGTGATACAGTTCCCTTTTCTCACAGTAATGGAGACAACAGAGAAAATGAACTGCTTTTAAACAAAAGACTGTGGGGACAACACTTCAGGACATTTTTGACATGGCTATAAGTTTCCACTTCTTTCTTCTCTGTAGCTGTAATAGAAAAAACTCTTCAGTTTCATCCCACCTTGAAAGTTAAAATTTCTTATACTGCATCAGGCAACAAAAATAGAAGAAATAGAATTTTAGATATTATAAATTTTTTCCCATCAGAAGAAAAAGATGACATTCGAAATCTCACCCCTAAATACAACAATCTAGGCAGAATACACAAGGCCTGTTCAGGATCAACAGCAGTATTATGGTTGGTAGTGTGTGGGCTTATACTCGAATGTTTACCTGGCTTCTTTTAAGCCAAGTATCTTGAGTTTGGTTCACATTCATTTCAGGCTCAAGGTTAAAGACTCACAACCTCTTTTTATTTCACTCTCTCCTGCTGAACCTTTTTGTCCAATGTTCTCTAGCCCTCTGGGAAAACAAACACATTTAATATTCAGACAGTAGAGAGTAGGGCACTGCAAAAGCAAATAAATTCAATACTGAAAGATCAGTAAGGTGATTAGTATAAAATTGTAAACAAGAGGTCAGTTTTGCAAAGAGATGCCAACTCTTAGTGTATCTGATAGTGTCTATATCAAGACTGTCTATGCAAATGCTTGGTCAAGTATTCAAGTATATATAAAGTTTAAAATAGAAGACATATCTTCAGTATAAATGTCATAGTTTATTTTTTAATCCATTTTTAGGTGAGTAAGATCAGGTATCCACAGGGGGAGATGTTACTGTATGTGCTGGAGACACTTGTATATATTGTGACCATATCTAGATAGTAGCCCAGCAAATTCAAAGATAAAATAAAAAATAATAAGTTTTAAACAAATATTTTCTAAGTTTCTGCTGACTGAATCAGATACATAACACAGTCTGTGCTACTGTCCTTCTACATAAAAACACAATCCAGTAAGTGATGCTGAAATTCAAACTACATGCAGCAAGGGGAGGATATACTTGCATATACTGCAAAATACTCAGGCCCAATTCTGATTTTTCTAAGTTCCACATGATTACTACACCACTGAATTTTAGAGCATGGGATC